AATTGAACTCCAGGAGCCAATTGCTGGACCAGGTCTGCAGCCTGTCCAGATCCCTTTGTAGTTCTGCCTGGTCTTCGATCGAATGAATTCTTCTCATCAACTTCACGTCATCTGCAAACAGGGACACCTCGGAGTCTATTCCTTCCGTCATGTCGTTCACAAATACCAGAAACAGCACTGGTCCTAGGACTGACCCCTGTCGGACCCCGCTGGTCACAGGTGCCCACTGACACCTCCCCACGTACCACGACTCGCTGCTGTCTTCCTGACAAGTATTCCCTACAGATACTGTGTGTTACTAGAAGTGGATAGTTAAAAACAAGTGGACAAGAGTGAGATCTCAAACAAATGGGAATAAGTGAGAATAACAGGCAGAGGAAGGTTTATAGTGCAGTGGTAAGGTAGAAAAGCGAGTAATTAAGAAGTGGAAAAATAAAATATCGATAACATCTGTGTACGTAGATAAATGCTTCAGAGAACCGACTAGTTGATAAATTAGACACATGTGTAGCACTTGTGTCTTTATTGAGGAAACTTTTCGCCACACAGTGGCATCAGTCTAATGCAAAGAAAAGTGGTGAAAACCAGGAGTATGAAGTAATCAGCTCCTCAGCTTCAGACTGAGGGGCTGTATCGGACTGATGAAGTCACTGTGTGGTGAAACGTTTCCTCAGTCAAGATCCCCAAGTGTTGCACTTGTGTCTGTCATGTGCACGTTCAACCAGGAATTCTCCAAAGTAATGTCACAAAAAGCATTGTTTTTCACTAGACAACAGTAATATTAAAGTGACCGTTAACCCCACCAACTCCCAGGTAATATACCTCCTCCTTCCCTAAAATACTGTAAATACCTCACATGAGTGGGAAAACAAACTCTCCTAACCCGCCCACTTTCTCTACTTCCTCCATCTCACCGGGAAATACAAATATCCCCTTCAAATGTCCAGAAAATCTTTTCCCTTTTTCCTGCATTAACACTTTCGTCTAGCAGCTTGATTACCTAGACTAGCTAATCTCCCCAAGCTTCTTCCTCACTCCAGACAACTCTTTTTATTTTATTGTACAATGTTGCACAAAATATAAAATTTATATAAAGAAAATGTCATTTTTCTTGTATGTACGGAGTTAAAAATAAAATTAAAAGTAATAGAAATATACCAGGAGAGCGTGTTGGTGCAGCAGTCAGACAGATAATCACAATATCTAGATGAAAGGGTTGGTTGTATTATTATAATCATAACTAAGCGCTAAACCCACAAGGGTCATACAGCGCTGATGGTTGGTTGTAAAACTCAAAGACCGTATTATTATTATAAAAAGAAGCGCTAAACCACAAGGGCTATACAGCGCTGCTCAAAGATCGTAGACATCTTCTCTCCAGTGACGGAATCCAGATGTATAATACTTGCCTGTATGTGGTGCAGTATGGTCAGTTGTCGTGTTTTAGTGACTTACCTTTAGCTGGCTATGAAAAGTACACTCCAGAGATCTGAGAACCAAGTAATGCCGTAGATAATAGAACTCAGGTAATATGTAGGTAAAAACTGACTATAATGTAATTGTTGTCTCAGGCTGAGCTCTTATGGCTAGAGACAGTTTGTATACGTATCTACAAGTCTGTTAAAAATTCATGCACTCACATATTTATATAAATGCCATGAGCAAGCTTATAGACACAAAGATACAGCAGGAGTGGGAAAACAAGCAAATGTGTACGCATGCACAGTCACGCAACACTCTTGCACATACATCAATGGAACGGACGAACGTTTATGATTATACACATACTCCTATACATGCACTCACACAGGTGACAGGTCTCAACCTCTCCAAAACACTCCATAAGTACACAAACACACAATTCCCTTTGGAAGAAACTGTGGCATTATGAAACAGGATGTGGAACAGGTCAATAGAGGCTAAGCTGCTGATAAGAGACAGCAAGAGACAAAAAATCTGGAGGGAAAAGCGCAATGGGGGAAAAGATGATTCATGAACTCTAGGAGACTGAAAGAGGTCCACCAAGTTGTAGATCGAACTAAACTTCTCGTCCCATCTAGATCGATACAGAATCCTACGACAGTAAACCTACCTTGAACACCATAAGAATCTACAATCATCTATACTCAGAGAAAAACAGGACAGTGACGGAGAGGGAACAGCTGAGGAAGTATGTGAAAACCTGTCAGGCACGGAGAAGACCAGTGGAAGAGGAGCCAGGTGGAAGGAGTAACCAAACTCAAAGAATTCATCCAGATGCAACCACAACCCCTTCCCCAGCTGACCCAACTCTAGGCCAGCTTCCACTTTCCAGCACCAACATTTATACCAAGCTACCCCTCATCCCAGCATCCCCATTCCTTGCCTACAACCTCATCTATGACCACCTCCCGTGGTAGTGATGCACACACCAACTCCAACCAGGCAGAAATCAGTGGAGTTTTGAAGAGGTGAGAGAGAGAAACCGACAAAAGGCAAACGACTTCAGTTAAGACTGGAAGTACCCAGAGTGGTAGTTGGAGTGATATAACAATAGTAGATGGAGGCAGGAATATGAAGACAAGAAAACAATGGTTGGCAACATAGCAGCAGCAGCTAGGAGTGCACATATGACTAGAGCAAAGCTAGTTATCATGGGTGATCTCAACCACAGTAGATTGGAAAAACTGGGACCCACTAGAGGCACAGGAAACGAAGAGAGTGCTGAGTATTTACCTCGGAGGTAAGAGAATGCAGATTTTACTCAGAGAAATACCTAGAGGATGAACGTAGTGTCTGGTACATCACCAGAGGCTCACATCAGATGAATAACCTCTGCAGCCAATGCTCGTCTATGAAATCTAAAATAAGCCTTCAAGAATTTCAACAGCCATTCCAGGCCTTTTAACAATATATGTATGTCGGGAACATTTTGGAGTATGCAGCACCAGTACTGAACCTGCACTTGAAAAAAAAAAACATGCTGAAAAACTGAAGTACAGAAGCATCGAGGTTTGTTTGTGAGCTAAGGGGCGTGAGTTACGAGGAGAAATCGAATATAATGATACTGGAGGACAGAAAAACCAAGGAAGCTATAATAACAACAAAGTAAGTAAATAAGTTTATTCAGGTATACACAAATACAGTTACACAGATCATACATAGCAGCATATGTGTAGAGAACCTAGGATAACCCAAAAAAGTCAGACAAAGTGACTCATTTCCATCAGGGCTCTGGTGGCCTGGTGGCTGACGCTCTCGCTTCCCACGGCGAGGGTCTGGGTACGATTCCCAGCCAGAGTAGAAACATTGGGCGTGTTTATTTCCACCTGTTGTCTATGTTCCCCATCAGTAAAATGGGTACCTGGGCGTTAGTCGACTGGTGTGGGTCGCATCCTGGGACACTGATCTAATTTGCGACATGCGGAGCATAACAAGGGGCTTTCTATATAGTAGTATGTCATTGTTGTCAGCTAGGCCTGTATACCTTGTACATGTACTTGTAGTAAATAAAGATATTATTATTATTATTATTATTGGGGTCCTTAAATACAAAATACTCAAGGGAACTGATAGGGCAGAGAGGGACAGGCTCTTTGAGAGGCGAAAAACAGGTACTCAGGAACACAATTGGAAGTTAGACAGATGAGCTGCAGGGATGTTAAGGAGTATTTCTTAGTCTCAGAGTTGTCAGGAAGTGGATTGATCCTGATGTAGTGGTGGTGGCTGACTCCATGCAATTTTAAGAGTAGATACAATAGGATCCACAAGGCTTGGATCTAATATAATCTCTGTAACTATAAACAGGTGAATGCACACACACATACATGTACATACAATCGACTCCTGCAACCACATATGAGTACACATACACACTAGTACAAATATACTGTTGTGCTCCTGGGTGCTCGCATATGTGTATATGTGAGGGACGGGAGGCTCAAGACGGGAGGCTCAAGCAAACACGCCTGTAAAACTTTTTTTTTTATGGAAACTTTAATGAATACACAAGACTTAACACTCGTATAATACATCATTCAGGCATATTACAGTTATATACATACCACACACACACAACAACAATATTATTATATATATATATATAATATTATATATATATATATATATATATATATAATATATAATGTAATATATTATATATATATATATATAATATATATATATATATAATATATATATATATATAATGTATATAATGTATAGTATGTATTATGTAATTATATTATATATATATATATATATATAATATATATATATATATATATATATAATATATTATAATATATATATATATATATATATAACATATATATAATATACATTATATATATATATATATATATATATATATATATATATATATATATATAATTATATATATATATATATAAAATATATATATATATATATATAATAATTATATAATATATATAATAATATATATATATATTATATATATATTATATTAATATATATATATATATATATTAATATATATATATATATATATATATATATGTCGTGCCGAATAGAAATCTTCATCTTGGCATTAAATAGCAAACGCATCATCTTGCCATATAACAATAGCAAAATTTGTGTATGCAATAATTTCGCCAAAATCATTCTGAACCTAACGAAAAAAATATATTTCACTGTGTTTGTTTAGTATTAAATTATTGCAAATAAATCTAAAATATATATAGTTGGGTTAGGCTAAAATAAATTGTTCTTCTTATAATAAGGTTAGATAAGTTTTCTAAGATTCTTTTGGTGCAAAATAAATTTTTTTTACATTAACATTAATGAAAAAATATATCTTTAAACGTATAAGAGAAAATTTTAGAAACGACTTAATTTTAATGAGTAAATGAGTTCTTGCTAATTGACCAGTTTTACATATTCGGCACGACATATATATATTATATATAATATATTATATATATATATATATATATATATATATATATATATATATATTATATATATTATATATATATATATTTTCTTTCTTTCAACATACCAGCCGTATCCCACCGAGGCGGGGTGGCCCAAAAGAAAAAACTAAAGTTTCTCTTTTTAAATTTAGTAATATATACAGGAGAAGGGGTTACTGGCCCCTTGCTCCCGACATTTTAGTCGCCTCTTACAACACGCATGGCTTACGGAGGAAGAATTCTGTTCCACTTCCCCATGGAGGATATATATATATATATATATATATATATATATATAAAGTTCTTTGATCTCTGATTATACAATATCACTTTTGCACTGCTTTACATTAAATGTAACACTGCTCAACTGCACACTTATATTTTAAACTATACATTTAAGGGCCACTGTTACAACACTTCGATATATTATTATCACTCTACTTGTCACAGTATGCTCGATATCAATGCCACAACATCTGACTACTGTCACAGCATCTCAGTTATATTACACCTTACGTCACAAGCCTCTTTTCTCTTATCACTGACCCGCTACTTCACCGCGGCCAGTCATGACTTTTGGTTTCTACCTCTCTGCTGACTTATTGACTGCTTCCTGACTGGTGACTACCTCCTGGCTAGCTCTCTCCTACAGCCTACATAAGCACTAAATGCAATGACTCCTTGGAGACACATTCTTCCTGGAAGTTCAGCCACTGATCTGATGCAAAATGGGTGGCGACAGGCAATCATAAGTCCATGGCTTACCAACCCACTGCTGACTCATCAACAAGCAACCACCTCTGGCCTCATGCACCACAGTATCCAACACCTGCATAACAATATTCTATGTCAAGTGTAAACAGTTCTATAAATCCCTGACAATAAACATAAATTAAAGTTTTTTAATACTACTTATCTTCCTTAACACCCTAACTTTTTATAACCACTTAAATCAATACAATACTCTTGACCTTCCACTCTCTCACTACTAGTTCTGATCATTTGCCAAAGCCTAAATCCCTCTTGTACCTATTAGTTTATGCTAATCCTGACCAAATCTGTTTCCCTCTATGGTAAATGTGATACTTTCTCTGTCTGCCCTCTCATGGATATTGATGTTGAGAGGTGCGTCTCGGGCTATGATATATGCCATCTCCTCGTACAGACCAGTTAAGGACTTGCTATATAATTCAAGGTTTAGTGAAGTGTGCAAGACTTTCACTTGGGCATCAGTAAGAGCTTGAGAGACAAGTTTCAATAGGTGAACAGTATCATTACCAAGAGCAGTGTGGGAAAAAGAGATGGACAAGGGTCTCTGCCAAGGAAAAGCCTTGAAGATCTTCTGCAAAGACTGATCCAACAGAGGTGTGAAGCAAAGAAAAAGTATGCTAAGTTCAACACTTTTGGGCATTGTTATATTGGCAAAACATTTTACAAAGCTTTCTGCACTCTGTATATCATTCACTGTTAAATTCAATCTTAATTTTGAGTGTTTTTCTTCAAGATACTGTAGCAACTGGACAAACTCACTTAACTCGCCAGTATTACTGTCATGCATAATGATGTCAGAATCTAGGTTTAAAATGATGTGTATATAATCTAGAGTTTCTTGCTGAGTCAAACACTGATACAAATTCAAACAATGATGCAGTGGACATTCAATGCTTGTGTATACTGACAATGTTGCCAGAGAGGCCAAGAGAGAGGGTAAAATATCTGAAAAAGTATCATCATTGCTAAGTGAAACAGAAAGTGATTCAGGTACAAATCCTGTTGTCTCCATCAGATACTTCACAGCTGGCAGGGTCTGAGATATCTGATATCCACTAAGCTGTATCGTGTTATGCTTCTGAAGATAAGGTCGAACCAATCTACATACAACTTCGTTTTCAGCACATTCTCTTACAATCCGTGACCAGTCAACCAGTGGGTCGAACATTATGTTCAAATCAATTCTTTCCACAATATTTGCAATTCTGTTAATGTCACATGGTTCTTTAGAAATCTCAATGGCAATTAAACAGAAGAGTGCTTGCTTTATTTTACTTTCCTGCAAAAAGTTGACATTCATGTCATTCATTGTGTATTCCTCTTCACTGATATTATTAGATGTATCATATATGCTACTATTTACACTATTGCTGACAGTAACACCTCGACTAACCTCACTTGTAATATCAGAATTAAGTTCGTCTTGTGATGATGAAAGACATTTGGCATTAATAAATGGTGCCCAGATGCATCTCAATTTTAAGGAGCATCCTCTTAACCTTGGAGCTCTACTTTTTACAGGTGAAGGATTATAATCTCTAGATAAAGAAATCTTTGAAAAGTTTCTACTGCGAAAATTGGCTTGTGGTTCAAGAATTCTAGGGAAAGAACTACCTTGTGGTTCAAGAATTATACGTGGAATTTGCTTTTCATGTGGAACTTGCTCTTCACTTAAGTAATAACCAGAGAGATATTCCTGATAGGCTTTGTGAGGGAACTCCCAAATGAGTTGGCTCCCAAATGCATTTTCACGAGATGTACAGATTAAAAATGAAGACAAAGCATAAATGGGATCTAAGTCAAGACATTTAGCTTCTGAAAGAAGTTTTGTATTCCATCTGTCATCATTAAGAATCTGAGTGTTGTCATGCAGTGCTTCCCACGCCACTTCAGCCAAGCAACGAAGCCACTGTCGGCATGCCTGTTCTATTAACATAACATGTCTCGTTTCCTCTGCTCTTTTATTTAAGTGCTCTACAAGCCGTCTGATACCCAGTTCTACCGATTGCTTAAGAATATGAGTATTTGTGACAGCACCTGTGAATGAGGTTTTGTCCTGTATCCACAAGAGAGTCATCAACATCATGGTCAGTGGCAAATTTAGTAATGAGTATAACTTATGCTCCAATGTCTGCAAGTGACTGAATAACTCTTGAATCATTTCTTCACGCTTACATGTATTTTCCTCCACCACAGACAGTAGTTTAGTAATATATTCTTTTTGTTGTGGTGTGCTGAACCCTTTCACGTACAAAACATCAATGTTTTTGCCATTTTTTGAAAATATCCTCTTGGCTTCATTTGTGTACTCTGGCCTACAAGTTAGCATAACTCTACTAGCTGGAAATTTAGCATTAACTTCTCGTATTATATATTTTGCCTGTATCCCAGCTTCATCTAACCCATCTATGATGAATAAAAGACGACATTCCCTCAGGGTGCAGATAACGTCTTCATGCCTTAGCCCCTTGCAAGTTTCTTTCAGTATCTCTTCCCTTAGGAATTCATTCAAAGAACTGGAAGCCACTGAGTAACACTGAATATAAATCAAAATATCAATACTACTCACAACAGCATTCATGTTACTGCTTCTGGAAGCCCAGCAGTTCAGAATATACTTGCAGATATGACTTTTTCCCATGCCCGCTATACCTTCAAGGATCACCAGTCTTGGAAGAGAACCATTAGGCAATTTATGCTCTAAGATTTCAAGCACAGGTACAACACAGCTGTTCTTAGTCATTATAGTTAATGTAGTGAAAATTTGCTCCAGCCGTGGGCTCTGGGAACTATTGCCAAATTGCCACCAAACGCTGTCTTCTTGCCATAATTCGCGGTAAATTTTCCCAAGCTCACTTTGAGAATTTATAATTATTTTACTGACAAGATCATGTAGAAAATCTTGCAGCTCTTTCTGATAGTTCTGTAGAGAAAGTTTTGTCTTGGATTTTTTAATATCATTTATTGTTTCCTTCATTATCCTAATGTCCTCATTATAATCCTCTCCAGTAATGCAACTTGTTTTTTTCAATGCTTTTTCTAGAAGCAACTCCAGTTTCTCTGATCGAGTTTGAAATCCCTCACATGTTAAAACCACAGCTTCATGTGCCAAGAAATTTCTCTCTCCTTTAACAGAGAACAGAATATGCTCGAGTCCCTCTACATCCTGAGGCTCTGGATTACTCCACTTAGCGTCAGAGATGGGTGCTAAACCACACACATGCTGTAAAAGTTTATATGTACAGGTTATATCCAACGTCTCCCAGTCTACATTAGCTTCAAAGGCCTCTCTTTCATGATGAGAAAACACCTTCCTGTACTGAGAATTATTAAAGCCTAAGGTACTTGTGTAGAAATCCTTCACACTCTGTTGCCCACCACCATACAGCCTACGAGAAACCTGTTTGAAGGAGAAACAAATTAGTATTAAAAAACAAATATTTTCTAAATACGTACGTACATACGTACGCGCGCGCGCACATGTATGTATGTATGTGTGTGTGTGTGTGTACTCACCTAATTGTGGTTGCAGGGGTCGAGACTCAACTCCTGTCCCTGGTGTACTCACCTAATTGTGGTTGCAGGGGTCGAGACTCAGCTCCTGGCCCTGCCTCTTCACTGATCGCTACTAGGTCCTCTCCCTCTCTGCTTCCTGAGCTTTGTCATACCTCTTCTTAAAACTATGTATGGTTCCTGCTTCCACTACTTCACTTGCTAGGCTGTTCCACTTCCTGACGACTCTATGACTGAAGAAATACTTCCTAACGTCCCTGTGACTCGTCTGAGTCTTCAGTTTCCAGTTGTGACCCCTTGTTTCTGTGTCCCCTCTCTGGAGCATCCTATCTCTGTCCACCTTGTCTATTCCCCGAAGTATCTTGTATGTCGTTATCATGTCTCCCCTGACCCTTCTGTCCTCCAGTGTTGCCAGTCCAATTTCCCTCAACCTTTCCTCGTACGACATTCCCCTGAGCTCTGGGACTAGCCTTGTTGCAAACCTTTGTACTTTCTCTAACTTCTTGACCAGGTGTGGGTTCCAGACTGGTGCTGCATACTCCAATATGGGCCTAACATACACAGTGTACAGTCTCTTGAACGATTCCTTATTAAGGTATCGGAACGCTATTCTCAGGTTTGCCAGGCGCCCGTATGCTGCAGCAGTTATTTGGTTGATGTGTGCCTCCGGTGACGTGCTCGGTGTTATGGTCACCCCAAGGTCTTTCTCCCTGAGTGAGGTCTGTAGTCTTTGTCCACCTAGCCTATACTCTGTCTGTGGTCTTCTTTGCCCCTCCCCAATCTTCATGACTTTGCATTTGGTAGGGTTGAATTCGAGAAGCCAGTTACTGGACCACATGTCCAGCCTGTCCAGGTCTCTTCGCAGTCCTGCCTCATCCTCATCCGATTTAATTCTTCTCATCAGCTTCACATCATATGCGAATAGGGACACTTCAGAGTCTATTCCTTCCATCATGTCGTTCGCATATATAAAAAATAGCACTGGTCCTAGAACTGACCCGTGGGACCCCGCTTGTCACAGGAGCCCACTGTGATACCTCTTCACGTACCATGACTCGTTGTTGCCTCCCTGCCAGGTATTCCCTGATCCACTGCAGTGCCCTCCCTGTTATATGCGCCTGATCCTCCAGCTTCTGCACTAATCTCTTGAGGGGAACTGTATCAAAGGCCTTCCTGCAGTCTAGGAAAATGCAGTCAACCCACCCCTCTCTCTCATGTCTTACTTCTGTTACCTTGTCATAAAACTCCAGAAGGTTTGTGACACAGGATTTGACTTCCATGAACCCATGCTGGTTTTCATTTATAATCTTGTTCTGTTCCAGGTGTTCCACCACTCTCCTCCTGATAATCTTCTCCATGACTTTGCACACAATACATGTCAGAGACACAGGTCCATAGTTTAGTGCCTCATTTCTGTTTCCTTTTTTTAAATATGGGGACTACATTTGCTGTCTTCCATTTCTCAGGTAGTTGCCCAGTTTCAAGGGATGTGTTGAAGATTATGGTTAGGGGCACACACAGCATCTCTGCTCCTTCTCTAAGGACCCACGGGGAGATGTTGTCTGGTCCCATCGCCTTTGAGGTATTAAGGTCACTTATCAGCTTCTGCACCTCCTCCTCGGTTGTTCGTATGTCATCCAACACTTGTTGGTATATTCCCTCTTGATGTTCCCTTCTGTGCTGTCTTCCCAGAGCCCTTCCTGTCTCTACTGTAAAAACTTCCTTAAATCTCCTGTTTAGCTCCTCATATACCTCCTGATCATTTCTTGTGAGTTCTCCACCTCCTGTCCTCAGTCTGATCACCTGGTCTTTGACTGTGTGTGTGTGTGTGTACTCAACTAATTCATCTAATTGTGGTTGCAGGGGTCGTGTTGGAACTTATTTGGTCCGAGAAGTCCCAACGGGGAAAAACACCGTTCAAGGGCCCTTACACCCACCCAAAACACAAACACACTCACCCGGGTTGGCGAAGGTGGTTGGAAGGTACTTCTTAATTGATAGATTTACCCTTCAGGGAAGAAGTAGGTAGTTTATACTGTTAGTACACTAATATTAGGATTATTGAGGCAACTGTAGATAGGTAGTAGATAGATAGGTAGTAATAGGCCGAATGTAGGCAAACACTAGGTTATGTTAGCTAGGGAGAACTGGCAGCCCAAGTTTGAATGATGAGGCGCGGGTCTCAAAGACACCAGAGCTTCCTTCTAAGACTAGACACCATCTGAACAACATGTGCCATGATCAGCAGGCGGCGCCCCCACATGTCTTCACATATTAGACCTGGGGAAATCTGGTGGAGGCACCTCGACGTACCGTAGATGTCCTCCTCCGTCAGGCACATACAGTAAGACAAGACCTCCCTTTTTTCTTAGGATCCTGGCCAGTGTCTGGGGAAAATTGAGAGTGAGTTGAGCTGTGGCCTTTGTGCAGCCGGCAGTTCATGACCAGTACGTGCTTTTGTCTCTTGTCAACCTAGAAGCTAGTGTCAGTTTCTGCATAGTTATACTTAGGGATACACACCCCCTTGGATACAGGAACTTCTGAGGTGCAGGCAGGTCACTAATATTGATTGAATATTGCAGGAACTAAGGCTCCCGGTTGCACGTGGTTTCTGAGGGGAAGTCCAAAGGGGCTAAGCTTAGGGAGGTTGAAGACCAGAATAGATTCTACATCACCAAGTTAGTCCTTTAAATATGCATGCAGGCGAGATTTCTTGCAACATCAGTCATTTATGAAAATCTGTCCTATAAGCCACTTGTGAGGCTGAGGTACCGACCTCAGAGCTCGGTGTCAATAGAGCTTGCCAGGGTAGGCGACTCACTTGGAGGCAGTCCAGACAAATTTTCACAGGTCGAATCATAGCTCCAGGCCCCACCTCCTCACTGGTCACTACTGTGTGTGTTATTAACTGGGGCAGTGGGTGCGAGGAGACTCGCCCATATGTCTTGACCTCTGTGTGTGTGTGTGTGTGTGTGTGTACTCACCTAATTGTGATTGCAGGGATCGATTCACAGCTCCTGGCCCCCGCCTCTTCAATGGTTGCTACTAGGCCACTCTCCCTGCTCCATGAGCTTTATCATACATCTTCTTAAAGCTATGCATGGATCCTGCCTTCACTACATCACTTTCCAGACTATTCCACTTCCTGACAACTCTATGGCTAAAAAAATACTCCCTAATATCCCTGTGACTGTCCCATCTCTGGAACATCCTGTTTCTGTCCACCATGTCGACTCCTCTCAGTATTTTATGTGCCATTATCATATTCCCCCTCTTTCTCCTGTCCTCCAGTGCAGTCAGGTCGATTTCTCTGAACCTCTCCTCGTAGGACATGCCCCTTAGCTCCTGGATTAGTCTTGCTGCAAACCTTTGCACTTTCTCTAATTTCCTGACGTGCTTGGCCAGGTGTGGGCTCCAAACTTGTGTTGCATACTCCAATGTGGGCTTGACGTACACGGTGTACAGGGTCCTGAACAATTCCTTACTGAGATGTGAGAATGCTATTCTTAGGTTTGCTAGGCGCCCATATGCCGCAGCAGTTATTTGGTTGATGTGCACCTCAGGAGATGTGCTCGGTATTATACTCACCCAAAGATCCTTTTGGTACTCTGTACTCTGCATTCTTATTTGCCCTTCCTGAATCTTCATGGCTTTGCACTTGGTGGGGTTGAACTCCAGGAGCCAGTTTCTTGACCAGGCCTATAGTCTGTCTGTGGAAAATACTGTATATATTTTCCAGAAATTCAGTATTTATATGTAAATAGATGGCCATACTGTATTTAATATTTATGTCATAGAAAACGGAAAGCCTGCATCTGCGCAGACGAGTCTCGCCATCTTGGTTTTGAATTTTGTACAAACGTTGGTGTAATGGGAAGAATTTTTTGTGCTCTAGAGGTTAAAATTGTGTTGACACCTCTCAAATAGGAGGCGAAATTGGTGGATGTGCATTCCTGCATAACTTGAGATATCAGACGACTGGACAAGACAGCTCCAGGAACCTCAGATAAGCTCTCTAGATTTGTGTGTAATTCTGGCCAGCATTATTTTCATAGATTTAGTTAGAGTGAGGTTTTCTGAGTATGATACACATTAATCTCCAGCCAAATTGGTGAGTGATATTAAGATATATTTTCCTTCTGTTATGTAATTGTGTATATATATAACCATTTATTATTTTAATATACAGTCCACAAATTTATATATTTACCAGTATTCCTGGTGTATGTATATTTCATTTAATTAATGGGTCCAGAGCAACTTGTGGTTATGACAGTGGTAGTTATCGAAGGGGGACATTTTTTGCGACCTAGGTGTCCCAAATTCCTACTTGTCTATGTAACATTGATAAATAATAATTATCTTTGTTATCATTTACTGTTATGTACATAATTAGTTACATTCAGATAAATGCAATTTTCCACACTGTCAAAATCCCTTTGTAGTCGTGCCTGGTCATCCTCCAATTGAATTCTCCTCATTAACTTCACATCGTTTGCAAACAGGGACACTTCTGAGTCTATTCCTTCTATCATGTCATTCACATATACCAGAAACAGAGCATCAGTCCTAAGACTGACCCCTGTGGAACCTCGCTTGTCACAGGTGCCCACTCTGACACCTCGTCACGTACCATGACTCACTGATGTCTTTCTGTCCCATGTGTGCTCACTTATTTGCGACTGCAGGGGTCGGTTCATAGCTCCTGACCCCGCCTCTTCACTGATCGTTACTAGGTCCTCTCTCTCCCTGCTCCATGAACTTTATCATACCTCGTCTTAAAACTATGTAAGGTTCCTGATTCCACTACGTGTGCGTGTGTGTGCACGTGTGCATGCGCACGCGTGCAGGCTTACATACCATACAAACATGAGTAACTGACAGTAAGTAAAAAAGAAAAAAGTAAAATAAATACATTGCAACTTACCTTTGCCATTACAGAAGCTGCAGGTCCTGTTCTCCTTAACATGGCAAAATATTTGAGCACATTTTCATCTTCTGTTGTTAATGGACCACAATTTGTTTGAGAAGGGCAAGTCAACCCATCTTGGGCTGGTACAGACGGTATACAGTTGCTCTCACCAGCTGTGACCGAAGTAAATAAAAGACTTAATGGGGTTTCGTGGCTTTCATCAGCTTTTGTTGCTGGAGGCAGTGAACTGCTTGGAGTCTGATGGCTTCCAGAAGCTTTTGTTGATGCAGGCAGTGAACTGCTTGGAGTTTGACAGCTTCCAGAAGCTTTTGTTGATGCAGGCAGTGAACTGCTTGTAGTTTGATGCCCTTCAGAAGCTTTTGTTGATGCAAGAAATGAACTGCTTGGAGTCTGATGGCTTCCAGAAGCTTTTGTTGATGCAGGCAGTGAACTGCTTGGAGTTTGACAGCTTCCAGAAGCTTTTGTTGATGCAGGTAGTGAACTGTTTGGAAATTGGTGGCTACCAGAAGCTTTTGTTGATGCAGGCAGTGAACTGCTTGGAGTTTGATGGCTTCCAGAAGCTTTTGTTGATACAGGCAGTGAACTGCTTGGAGTTTGATGGCTTCCAGAAGCTTCTATTGGCCCACATGGTGAACTGTTTGTGATTTTCTGGTTCTTGTCAGCTTCAGTTGTAAAATTAAGTGCCATGTTTTCTATCTGAGAAGTCAGTGGTGGTGTATAACTCCCAGAAGGCTTTGTTATCAGCAGTTCTACAGATTTTTCTACTGTACAGGGTAGGTGGGGAACATAAGTAGCAACAGTTGAGTCTACTGTAGGTTCAGATAGGTCAACAGATTTGACTGAACACCTTAAATGGCTCTGAATATTCCCCATAGTATTTCATGTGTTATTCTTTACATAGTGGAAGCATTATCATGACATACAGTCATTTTCACACTATACTATCATGGTCAAGGATTAGTCACCTATATGATTCCTCTTGTAAAAGTTTGAACCACTGGAAATGAAGTGATCATTTCCCATGACTGCAAAAATGTTACAACTCATCTCGTATACTATGAGTATCAAGCAGTGACATATTGCTATTTTCAGAAAAAAATCTACACTTTACCTTTAAAAAGTTTCTTCTAAAGTATGTAATCACATGCAAAGATGTCTTTTCATCTGTTGCTCAAGATGTGACTGATCTCGGTTGTGATTCTAATACAGAGAATGCAGCATTTCACTCTTAATGTCATGAATGCAGCATCTCACTCATAATGGTCCATATTTTTATTAGATTCAGGGGCAAGCACTTAACCTGTAAAGGTTATACAACACCTGGGGAATTGGCTGTAATGCAATTTGATCCAAGGAAGGAGGAGGTGGAGGAAAAAGAAAACCTTCAGATTAGTAACTCCTGAGGTTCGTTATGTAGGGTTAATAACATGAAATAATTCAAGACAATAAGCAGTATGGCTTACTTCCACTGGGGTACTTTATAGCACCTTCCACAGAGTTATAATCAATATATAATCAATTTACCACTAAACCCTTCCACAGAATGCCACTTTTAGACATTCACTCTACTACTGGATGAAGACCCAATCTCAAGCACCAAGGTAGGCACTTCCACTTGATGGGTAGCATTGTGATAAGCCACTAATTACCACTGAAGATAGTTTATCAGCATAACTAAAGTTTTATTATGAATTATTTAACTAACACTTCATGTGAATCACTTAATGCATTTAGAGTGTCTGCTCAGCTGCACTCTGGAAGCCTTGGAAAGATTTTGGAGACCTGGTCTCCCCACTTGTATTGAAAACACTATCGCACACATACACTTTTCAAGCAGTGAGAGTTTTGTGTATTGTTCCTTGGAAATCTCAGAAAAATTCTTGGTAATTACTTCTCTTAACTCTGTGGCTCAATAAAACCTGAAAGAAATTAGAAGACATTATTTCTGTATACATCCAGAGTGCAGTATTCTGCATTGTATACATATTGAGCATGAGACAGATATAAAGTGATAGAGATAATCATCATTATTATACAGGATTAAAAAAATTACTACATTTGAGTCATTTTCTGCGAGAAAAATGACAGGATGGATAATGAGAACCTTCAAAACTAGGGATGCCAAGCCCATGATGACACTCTTCAGCTTGCTTGTTCTATCTAGGCTGGAATATTGCTGAACATCAAAATGGTATACAATACCGACAGGTTGTTAGGTAAGACACATATGCAACAGTTAGACAACTTTATTCCGAAACGTTTCGCCTACACAGTAGGCTTCTTCAGTCGAATACAGAAAGTAGGCAGGAACAGTAGAGGTGTGAAGACGATATAATCAGTCCATCACCCTTGTAGTCATAGAATTTGAGGTTGTCAGTCCCTCGGCCTGGAGAAGTTCAGTTCCATAGTCAGGAACTATCTGAAGATCAAGCGACAGTGCGGAGACTTAAATACTGTCGGAAGGAGAGGTGCAGAGTAGTAGTAGTAGTAGTAGTAGTAGTAGTGAGAATGTAGCCACTGAGAGGTCATGTCCCTCTCAGATCCAACACTTCTCATTGAAAAGCTTGTCCAAGGTGTTTTCTGTACCAAGATGCCATGTGTTGCAGTGTCTGACAAGATGAACATCAAAATGGTATACAATACCGACAGGTTGTTAGGTAAGACACATATGCAACAGTTAGACAACTTCATTCCGAAATGTTTCGCCTACACAGTAGGCTTCTTCAGTCGAATACAGAAAGTAGGCAGGAACAGTAGAGATGTGAAGACGATGTAATCAGTCCATCACCCTTGTAGTCGTAGAATTTGAGGTTGTCAGTCCCTCAGCCTGGAGAAGTTCAGTTCCATAGTCAGGAACTATCTGAAGATCAAGCGACAGTGCGGAGACTTAAATACTGTCGGAAGGAGAAGTGCAGAGTATAGTAGTAGTAGTATGTAGTAGTAAGTAGTAGTGAGAAGTAGTCCACTGAGAGGTACATGTCCCTCCAGATCCAACACTTCTCACTTGAAAAAGCTTGTCCAAGGTGTTTTTCTGTACCAAGATGCCATTGTTGGCAGTGTCTGACAAGAATGAACATCAAATGGTATACAATACCGACAGTTGGTTAGGTAAGACACATATGCAACATTTAGTCAACTTTATTCCCGAAACGGTTCTGCAAACACATAAGGCTTCCTTCCGTCAATACAGGAAAAGTAGGTGACAGAAATAGCAGGAACAGAGAAGATGTGAAGTACGATGTAATCATTCCAGCACCCTTGTAGACGTAGAATTTGAGTTGTACATATAGTTCCCTCTGGCCTGAAGAAGGTTCAGTTATCCAAAGTCAGGAACTATCTGTGATCAAGTCGTCTCAGTGCGGAGACTTAAATACCTGTCGGAAGGAGAGGTGCAGAGTTAGTAGTAGTAGTATTAGTAGTATGTGAGATGTAGCCACTCAGAGGTCATTGATTTCCCTCCAAACCAACACTAACTTCTCACTTGAAAAGGCTTGTCCAAGGTGTATTTTTTCTGACGAAGATGCCATGTTTGCAGTGTCAGACAAGATGAACATCAAAATGGTAAAATGCAATACTAATGTGGCTACATTCTCACTACTACTACCTACTACCACTACTACTCTGCACCTCTACGACCAAACAGTATTTAAGTCTCCGCACTGTCGCTTGATCTTCAGATAGTTTTTCCTGACTAATGTAACTGAACTCTCCAGTCCGAGGGACTGACAACCTCAAATTCTCTAACACTACAAGGGTGATGGTACTGAAATTACATCGTCTTCACATCTCTACTGTTCCTGCCTACTTTCTGTATTCCGACTGAAGAAGCCTACTGTGTAGGTGAAACGTTTTGAATATTGCTGCATCACTAACAGCACACCTTTCAAGGCAGGCGAAATTACTGACCTGGAAAAATGTACAGAGAACCTCACGCGCGCATAACGGAAGCTAAAACACCTCCGTTACTGAAGCACTTGAAAGTTCTGAAGCTGTACCACCCTGGAACGCAGGCGGGAGAGATACATGATTATATACACCTGAAAATCCTAGAGGGACTAGTACCAACTTGCACATGAAAATCACTCACATGAAAGCAAAAGACTCTGGCAGAAGACGATGCAACATCCCCCCAATGAAAGCAGGTGTGTCACTAAGCACATAAGAGACAATACAATAAGTGTCAGGGGGCCCGAGACTGTCAACTGCCTCCCAGCATACATAAGGGATTACCATAGTCCCCTGGCTGTCTTCAAGCAGGCACTGGACAAGCCACCTAACGTTGGTATCTGACCAGCCGGGCTGTGGCTCGTACGTTGTATTGGCGTGCAGCCAGCATAGTAATAGCCTGGTTATCCAGGCTCTGATCTCACCAGGAGGCCTGCTCACAGACCGGGTCCGACGGGGCGTTGACCCCTGCACTCAACTGCACCAGAATAACTCCATCATTAAGGCATTATTATGTCTCTGATATTAATACAAGTGTTACAACTGCTGGTTATTGGAGGGTTAGGACATTATGGATAGAATGGAGAAGAATACAACTTGATTGCATAAATCTATAGTGGTAAAGACAGAAGGGTGGGGGTGTCCATGGAAAGGTGGGAGGGGAGGGGAAATAAAGGAGTTTTTGTATGTGAGGAGCTCGGCATCCAAAAAGCATGTGTGAGTGTGTAGGATGAAAGGAGGTCAAAATGGCTTTTTATGACTTTGCATATTGTTGGAGTGTGAGCAAGGTAACATTCATGAAGGGATTCTCTATAATGAGATAGTAGTGTTTTGTGAACAGAGGATGAGCCAGGCATGACAGTGGTGGAAAAATTCTTTGGAAATACAGTGGTACCTTGGTATACATCTGCTTTGGAATAAGTCCAATTTGATATGTGTCCTGTTTGGACGCGAAAATTTTTGCTTGGTATACGACCTTTGTTTGGAATATGATTCACGTGCTAGAACTTGTATGAGTCAAAGGTCAGAAGCAAAGTTCTTGGACAGATTTTTAGTTAACTCAAACCTGTGATCTTCCAACCATGTTCCAGACTAGGGCAAAAAGACAGAAAAGGGAAGGGGACTCTCCTATCAAACAATAACGATTTCTCTCTCCTCCCTTTCTCAGCACTATCCAGAGGCACTCGACTCTTTTTAAGCAGAGTAAAGTGATGTTAAATTGCATTTAATTTCATCTAATTCTTTAGTATTTATGTATTTATTTTAGTATAAAAACCAGTGTATTAAATTACATATTATAATGTATTAAGCAATGGGTGGTATTAAATTAATTATAGCAAACCAAACAATGTATCATAAGCCAATAACGATGATTTTTTTGTGGTAAACGGATTAATCATATTCCCTAAATTCATATGGGAAAATCGTTTTGGTATACATCCTGTTTTGTATAAGTCCAAGGCCCTCGAACAGGATTTAAGGATTGTATAATGAGGTACCACAGTAGTGCGTTATAGAATAAATCATTGTACTGTATTGGCCAACTCCTTGAATCACTAAAGACCCCTTCCGCATTATTCTTACTGAGACATGCTAAAGCAGGACACAAAAGATATCTACCCTCTACCAGATACACAGCAATTTCACTAACTGCAGACCAAAATCCACGTTTGGGGGGTGGTTTTCAATCTATTACTCTAACCAGTTAGCTTGTATTAGCACCATTTGCTTTAGTTATAGAATATGGGGTAATACATTTTTGCTAAAATTTACTGTAAAAAACCTTAGACTCCTAAACAATCAGTGCCATTTACCGGATACCTCACACAAACATCCCCAAATTTCATTGAGAAATCAAAGTCATTAATAACAAACAGACAAATGAAAAAGCACCACCTTCATCTTAGCTGGAGACTTCCAACATCAACCTTGCATACTTAATGATGCACCTGTAACTATTTCATCAACAATAATTAACAACACACTTCTCATACCAACAATAACCTTAAACCAACATGCTCACTGAGACAGAGCACCATAATAGACACCATAAGGACCAATATACAAGCCCCCTAAATCAGGGATAATCACAGATAGCACTACAGACACTAACCCTAGCCTTCTCCTGACAAACATTAGTAAAGCCACCACTTGAAATACCACAAAGTCTCATTTAGACTCATGGACGAGGCCTTCAATAAGAAGTTCACAAGCTGACCTAGAGACCTGTTGATCTGCCTACAGAATTCTCCAAAGGCGCAATGTGTATTGATTGACTGGACAGACATTTTTCTTAAACAAATTACTAGACTATACAACAAAACATTATCCCTATCAAAACGAAACAGATCACAAACGAAACGGCTTGGGTGCCCATCTAACCAGCCCATTCTGAAATCCAATGAACAGAAACACCAAAATGAAAAGCAAAAAAACAGCACAATACACAAATATATTCATAAACACAATTCATCATTCTCACCAAAGTAATAAAGAGAGCCAAACAACTATACTACTCCAGTAGATTCACAGACACTAGAAGGAGATATAAAACAGACCTGAAACACTTTCTCAGATTCTAGGACCCACAAACTGAAAAAACCAAGAATATTGTCCTAACTAAACCTTATGAAACACCACTACATCCCACTTACACAGCTAACAAGATAAATGACTTCTTCTCAACCAAAGGATCTAAACTCTCCAATAAAATCCCACAAACCGAATGCCCATGCCGAGGGACTACCTAGATGAGAATTTCCCAAATTCCTTACTATCTTGCACCAACTGAGCCACGGAAGTCACCGAGATTATAGAGGTCACTTAAAACTAACTCAGGGAATCTGTCTCATGTCCCACCATAACTGTACAAGCGAGCGGCCCATATCCTTACGCATGCTATTTCATTACTTATTAAAGAAGTACACTAGAACTAGCACCTCCCGAACCTACCTCATGATGGCAAGGGTACACC